TCGTGTATTCACATGTGTCTGCTTTCCATCACCAAATAATAATGGCTTAATTCTAACAAATATGCTAAATGGCAAAGAAATGTGAGCAAAATTCAATGAAACAGATGTTTAATTCTAACTAATGATAACACTAAAACATCCAGTGAATAAGTTATTATGAAATCTTAATGTTAGATATTTTGTGAATACTGTTTAAATTAAAGTTACTTTTCATAATTCGGCCGGAATCAACTAAAGAAGCATTTAAAAACTAAGGACGGTGGGATATTTGTTTCCTCCTAGTTTAAGATTAATCAACATTTTGCGAAACGATAGACTTTTACGCAGTAACCATAAGTTAAGATGAAGATTTCGCGTCGACCTACACGTATTTTACAGATGATTTTTGTAAAGAATTGGAGTTAGTTGAGGAACCTTTAATAGCCAGGTAGAATAAAGTAACTCTTTATCTCACTTTGAGACTTCATGGGAACATGAACCAACGACTACATATGGAGTTGGGTTGATCTTTAGATTGTTCTGTAAATATGATACTCTCAGACCATTAAGGCAAAACTAAAAGCATTTTGATTTCTCTTCCTTAACTTCAAAAATAATACTTGTCTTTTAAATTCAATCTTTCAGTTTAGGAGGAACATATTACCCGGGTACGTCAGTCAGTCGAGATCGTATGCCTTATCAAGAAAGAGATGATTATTGATTATTGCACTTACTGAAATCTCCCCAATGATGCCTATTTAGATCGTATCACGATATGTTCGAAAGAGCGTTTGCTATTCCTTCAACAGTTTTGCTCTTTCATTATTATCTCAACAAATTATGAAATTTATACACGATGTGATTAAATCAGATACAAACTGGATGGGATGAGGATGTAAACTTTTATACGAAATAAATTCTAAAAACGCTCTGACTAATTTAGATTTTTTACTTTATTTGTTTAATTATTATGTATTATAAAAGAGAATTATTAAGCTATTACTGTAAGAGTATATTCAGTTAAAAAAAACCCTCAATTTTAAGCAATCAAACGATATAATCCAAAATCGTAACATCATCATCAACAGCAACGTAGAAATTTGCATGTACGTACATCAGTTCATATTGCCATACCACCTTAGCACAGAGATATGATTGCCAATTCAAATCCCATAGTAGTAGAGGTAGTAAAGGTATTAGCAGTAGACAGAGAGGTTAGGATTAGAAGATGTTAATTCAAGGAGTATAATTCAGTGAGGAAAATTTCGAGAGAGAATGGTAGAGGTGATGATTAATTCAGATGGTTAGAATTTCATGGAACACAAAAAATAAATGCACCGGCGCCATAGCAAACGGTTTTGAGCAATGTCATTCAGTGTCTCTAACCATCGATTACAATCATTTCGCGGACCCCAACCAGGTAGTCGACACCTACCGACATGACTAAGTCCACTTGTCAATGACTTCATGGATTTCTGCCGTGTTTTGGTCTGGCCGTCCCCAGCTTTCGTCCAATCTATTCCTATGCCTCAAAACATAGCTCGACGAGGCAGTCGGTGGTTAGGCATACACAGCACATGTCTCAACTACCTCAACTTATCAGGCTTCATTATTTCATCTACTGATCTGTCATTGTTACCTAGCACCCGATTCCTTATGACAGCGTTGCTCACTCGGGTGTCCCACGATATACGAGCAATGCTTCGAAGACACCTATGATCGAAAACCAGTAACCTACGAATATCTTCCACTCTCACTGGCCATGTTTCACAGCCATAAAGTAAGACAGAGCGAACTACTGCGCAGTACACTCGTCCTTTAGTCAGCAGACGGATATCTCTCCTACGCCATAAGTGACTCAGGTTGGCAAAAGCTAATCGAGCCTTCTGTATCCATGCTGAGATTCCGTCAGTCACCAGGCCATCGGCAATGATGAGACTCCCCAGTTAAGTGAAGCGGTCTACAAGTTTGACTACTTCACTCCCTATCACTAGTTCAGGTACCGATGTAACCCAGTCTTGAAGCAACATTTTGCATTTCGAGGGGGAAACCGCATCCCGAACATGCTTGCATTGTTGCTTAGGGTAGTCAGAAGACTCTGCATTTTGTCAATTTCTTCACCGAATAGAACTATGTCATCGGCACATTCTAAGTCAGTAAGCGATTTTCCTAGTAGAAAGTCAACCCCTAAAAAATTTGACGAGCTTAATGTTAAATCTAAGAGGATGACTGCAACAAAGTTAAACAAGAATGGATAGAGTTGACATCCCCGACGGACTCCACTTGATGTAGAGAATTCAGATGACAGTTCGCCGTATGCTCTCACTCGACCAGAGGTGTTCGAGTAGAGAGCTTGTATAAGGCTGATGTACTTCTCTGGTACACCTTTCAATGACAGACACTGCCACGGAACCTCACGATCAACAGAGTCGAATGACGCCTTAACGTCCAGGAAAACAACCATTGTCGGACGACTAAATGTGTGTCTGTGTTCCAGGACATGTCGTAGTGTGAAGATGTGATCTATGCAGACACGCACAGGTCGAAAACCAACCTGGTTTTCTCTAGTCTGCTCTTCACGAGTTCTAGTTAGGTGTGTAAGGTTAATCGAGTCTAACAATTTAGAAACTATATTAGTTAGACTTATTCCCCTGTGATTGTCACAAGAAGACTTTTGTCCTTTCTTATGAATTGAGACAGTCAGGGATTGAGACCTGTCAGATGGGATTACATCCAGTTCTCAGATAGTACCTAAGATCTTAATCAATCTAGCTGCTAAAACTGGATCAACATCCTTAGAAATTTCAGTAGTTAGCCAATCAGGACCTGCTGCTCTACCTCGCTTTAGATTTCCTATAGCTTCATATAGACTAGGACCTACGTCGGTTTCCCATTCAGGATGACTGGAGATCGTGGGCAACCGAAGTGTTGCTGAAGGCCAGTTGAACTGATCCCTAAAGTGTTCTGCCCATCGATCCAATCTCCTAGATTGAGAATGAATGATATGACCATCTTTTTCCGAAATACTCTTACTTACATTTTGGTTCCTAATACCGGTTTACCTGACAAGTCTGAATAGTTGCCTACTAATGCCCATCGCAGTTGCCTTTCCCATCTCCCTTGCTTTCTCTAACCACCGCTATTGTCGATCATCGCGAAGGCTTTTAGTCAACCTGCGCCTAAGCTGACTCCGTTCCTCATCGTTCTCAGAGCCAGGAGGGATGAGTTTTAGAGCATTCATCCGTTCCGTAGATGCCACTGAAATCCCATAAGCTTCTCCCTAAGCTTATGGTTTACCTTACTAGAAGATATCACTGCTGTGTCCACAGCCTTTTTGATATCGTACCAAGCAACCTCAGGGTGGGCACCAATTAATACATGGCTGCCTGACTGTTTTTCTAGTTGTTCCTGAAATATATGCTTAGCTTTATTATCATTAAGTAGAGCCCTAAAGGTTTCCAGTAAGGCGCAAACAAATACGCGCTCGCACTAGAGCATGGTCTGAGTCTACCTACTTGAGCATTAAGGTCACCAGTCATTATTACTACATCAGAACGCCTAGCTTTCTGTAAAACTCATCTTTCACCTCGTCTGAACTGCAGTCAGTGGTAACGTAGGCAGATACGACGAAGAGGCAACGGCGAGTGTCCCTATCTTTCCGAGTCCTTACTATCCCGTTCAGTCGGACAGCGCACAAGCGACTATCTCCTAGGACCCAGTCTAGGAGAGCAAGTTCTGCCCTACGACTCAGTGCTATACCTACGCCAGCAAGACCCCGGCAAGCAGCATCAGGGCTTCCAGAAATACGAGGCGCAAGCCTTGTTATGTCTCCATCTGAACTAGGTGAGATCGAATTGATGATTTTTACTCGGGTCTTGTATGCGCGTTTCGGAGATGCAACATACATTGATCGCCCGTGATCCCAGAGTTCTAGCCAATGAAGCCTGTTGCCCTATTCGGCATAGGGTCCGAACATTAAAAGCTCCTATATGTAATTTAGTACGGGGCTTCAGGAGACCAGGAATAATGTTTCGAGAGCTCGTACCGTTTGCTTCATTGGCGTGAGGTGGTAAACGATCGAAAGGGTTGGTCGAGGAGATAAGGGAGTTATTAAGAGGTGTAGCAAGGATTTAATTGTGACCAATTCGGTCTCGTGTGCTTTTATAGGTATGAGGGCGGATGTTACTTCCGCGGCTGCCCACACCACGGAAGAGTTTTTCTTGAGGAACCTGAGAAGGAAGGTAGATTAGCGTTGGTCTTAACGACCTGGGAGCGTGACCACAGAACCCGACGGACAACTGCTTGAGGCCGGTCACGCACGGCCTTTTCATGAAAGGATTTATTAGTGTTAGCTCCGCTCTTAGAAGCCCTAAGTGGGCATCCTTACCGCCAAAGACGGAAATCCGTGAGGTAGGGTGAGGTGTGACATTTGTAGCGTCGACCTTTTCTAACCCTTCCTTCCTTGTGAGAAGGCACCATCGCTACAGATGCTGTTTCTGCGAGGGAAACACATTAGTGCTGTCACAACCCTCTGCAGACAGCAGTACGACTTTGCCCTCAGACCTTGAGTAGCTGCTTTTAGTCTTATCGTTCTCCAATCGTCCTGCTTGGCATGGTAGAACCTTCAGGAACATATGTTCCCGCCAATATACCCCAGTTGGGTCATGACGATAGGCAAGCCCGACCACCACGTCTAGGTAGCAGCTACGGTCGGGAAAACCGTAACATAAGATCGAATGTGTTTGAAGCACGTAATCTAGCTGCTAACAGTAAATCTATAAACTAATAAGTCCGAGTTTTATAATTATAATGGTTCCGGGGAGTTATATAATTGCATCTTTCTGAGAAAGAATAAAATGGAGTTTTCCGATCAGAAACACTCAAAAAGCATTTTTTTTGAAACTTGATGCAACAACTTGGATAAATACACATTGATATCATAAATTATTCTGTCATTGAATTAATTTACGACCACTGGCAAACGTTTTGATTAACTTAAGATAGGAGAAGTGAAAAACTATTTATTACTTGATAAAATGTATTTTTTTCATGATGAATGAATAATCACCTTATTAACAAATCCATAACTCATGACAAACAAATTCTTGTTAGCATGATTAGCTGGAACGAATGCAATCAGCTTTTAATGTTATTTATTGTGTAAATGGGACCCAAAGTTTCAGTTGCGGGAAAAGAACAATCTAATTACAGTTTAATGTACAATATTATACACCTTGACGTATATATAAATAAAAAAATATTAATAGATGAATAATTTACAGTAAAAAATATGAGAAGAATTTTTCGCTAAATCCACACATCTTCTTGGAACCGTTCTGCTTTACGCATTATTTCAACATATTCGCGTGCCTTCATTAAATCTACTTCAGATATATCCGAATATGTACACCATGTTTGTGTTCGTTCATAGTGAAATCGTATAGCAAGTAGTTTCAACCAAGACTGACATACTCCAGAAGTTAAAGTTTGTTTTCCACATATCATTATCTTGGCATTTTTCTCAAAAACTAGATTCATCAGTTGAATATCATGCTCTGGTATTTCAGAATCAGTAGAAAATCTACGAAAGATACAATCTTGAACATATTGTGCTTTGAGTGGGAAACAAGCTTGTTCAATTAATATTGATGAAATTCCTTCAAGTGCATACTTTTCATCCGGTGAATTCACAGTATCTCTTGAGAAACAAAGGCAAAGATGTTTTAATACTTGAGAATTTACTGCATCTGACAGTTCATTCTCAAATAACAGACTAGACACTGGGGAACGACAACCATAAATTAACCACAAATCTCCGAGAGATGTATTTTTCTGAAAAAAAAAACACAATACAAAATATATGAAGTGGCAAACACCCCAATTAGTTGCTGATTAGGTAATATTTTGAGTATATTGATTGAATACGATTTTTTATCGCTTTTGCAGATGGTCAGCTGAATGAAGGTAATGAATCTTATTATAGTTTAAAATAAGATCTAGTAAACTTGTAAAACTTATTTGAGATAGGTAACATTTTATTTGCACAAAATGAAGACGACTATATCCATAGAATACGCTGAATTCATTGCATCACATTGATGTATATTTATTTATATACGGGCTAATAATTCAAGTTATTTCGAAACATCAATATAATTTGGAATTTGGAGGAGTGTGTAGTACGTCAGTAGAGAAGACGTGTTTTGATATGATAAAACTCAGTTTATAATCAATAATTATTCATACTTAACATGTCTGGTACGTCTCCTTGCACTCTAAATACCAAATTACATTTTGAAACAACCAAGTAGTTTAACTCTGGCTTCGTTTAAATTTGTGAAAAGAACCAATTAGACAATAATTCTTAAATGTTTTGTAAAACCTCTGGGTCAAAAGACAAAGCGCACGTATATCAATCAATAGCAACGTAGAACTTCGTACATACGTACATCAGTTCATGTTGCCATACCACGTTAGCACGGAGATATAATTGTTAATTCAAATCCCATAGTAGTAGAGGTAGTAAAACTATTAGAAGTAATTGAAGAGTTTAGGGTTCGAAGATGTTAATTCAAGGTATAAGGTTAGTGTACTTTTTTGGTACTCCTTTCAAAGACAGACACTGCTACGGAACCTCACGATCAAATGACGCCTCAACGTCCAGGAAGACAACTATTTTCGGACGACTAAATGTGTGTCTGTGTTCCAGGACATGTCGTAGTGTGAAGATGTGGTCTATACAGTCGCGTACAGGTCGAAAACCAACCTGGTTTTCTCTAGTCTGCTCTTCACGAGTTCTAGTTAGGTGTGTAAGGTTAATCGAGTCTAACAATTTAGAAACTATATTAGTTAGACTGATTCCCCTGAGTGCATGTAAAACCAATTCAACAAAGTGTTTAGGTGATTGATCAAGCTGATAGTACCAATTGTGAACTAGATCTTAATTTTATTTTCATCACTTTTCATTTTTCACATTAATACCCACCAGAATTACACAGATTTATGAACAACTTAGGGTATTGGTTAAGATTATTTCAATTTTAGATAATCCATTTCCTTTTCCTTAGTTCAGTTATCAACGATATATTTATAAAAAGTGTTATTCGTTTAACTGACCAAGTTCAAAATGAATCATTGCTACTGCGAACATATTTATTCATAATGACGATCGTTATGCGAGGCGATTTAGAGAAATAGTATAACATTATTTATGGCTCAAAGGCAAGTACATGGTGACATAATTGGTTTTAAATCGAGACTGATGTTGTTATGCATCGAAAAAATAATGTTAAATTCCTTTTATAATAATAATGAGTCATAAGAATTTAAAAACGCTGAAAAGGAATTGTCTTAGTAGTTCAATATTGCAGATAGAAAAATAAACAGATAACTCCACCTTAAGGTAGTCAATTTTACGTTGTCTTATGAAGCTAATAAATGGTGCAATTCCACTTCCAGCAGCAATCATAATAACTGGTTGAGATATATCTTCAGGTAGATTAAAATGTGTGATATTTTCACGTAAATATATATAGATAGTTCGCAATTTTACATTGTTGCAATCAGTATTCTGATAGTTATCAGGTTTATTAACTCCAAACCATATTTTTTCCAGCCAACCAGTACAAGTACCATGACGTCGTGGTGGGTAACGACGAATAACATTTAGATGTTTATCATTCTCGGAATATTCAAAATCCACTCTAGTGAAAATGAAGGATAACTCTTGTTCATGAGGTGACTGTTGTTTATCAACTGGATTAATGAGTGTATATGAACGCGGCTGAAGAGGTGGCAGAATTTCCAACAGTCGAATAAATGACGGTCGGCAACATGAAAATATGGACAAAATATCTAAAAGATTAAGACCAGGTTTTCGGATATACCTGAAAGATGAACAAAAAAAAGGAAGACAGCCATATTATTTTGTTACTTCGAGCAGTAAGTAGATTACCTGCAAGCATAAACTCTATGAGTTACTTTAAATATATTGTGAACTAGGAGAGAGAAAGGAATCATTAATTTGATCATAACGTTTTGACACTTTCAAAAACAAGCGGGTTTGGATAATCCATAGCAATTCCTATCCTATCATGATGGATCTAGAAGTGATAACCTGAACTTAAAGTATGATATTTTTACCTATGTCTACGAGAAATGATTATTGAGACAAAGTCAGACTGATATAACTCTAAAGCTTATTGTGCTACGTTTAATAGGCGTTGTTCATCTTTTTATCCTTTACACGTTTTTTGATTCTCCTTTTACTGGTCCACTGATGTTTTTCTATGCTGCTTACAGGTATGCTACCCTAAGCTATTTCTGGTTTCGACTGAAGGTTGGTTTATAACCTATAAGAATGGCTGTAAATATAAAACTTACTTCTCAAACATTTCCTTCCCTTCTTGACTTGCAAATTCCAGGAGGCGGTTACGTTGCCTTTCTGCACTTATGGGACTAACATTGTCATCAAAACAGTAATCTGCTAACAATCTCAAAATCCGACGTGTTATGGGCACATAAAGTTCGCAGCAGTACGTTAACAAATATCGTAATGAAAGTGGATGAGCGAAATAAGACCAGCCAGGCAGCTTTCCATACTTTGTAGCTATTACTTCAGGGGTAAAAAGTGTATCAGCATCATGTAGACTATCCAGTGTTAAACGCTGTGATAACCATGTCACAGTTTGCTCATCATTTTCAGGTAATATGGAGATGCTATCACCTGGACGATAGTTTAATCTCTTTTCGGATTTAACTTTTAAAGTTGCTCTGTAAAACAATGAAAAAGATCGCATTTGAAAATTTCCAGACCAATGTTATACTATAAAACGATTAGAGGCAGTCGGCAGGTCTTCAATTTCCGTATTGTGCTTATCGTCACTCGTTAACCAACTAGACAAAAAACTCAGGTTCACACCTTCCTGCTGATTAGCCTCAACAACTGAGCATTACAACGAATCGCATTACGATGTTAAATCACTTATAATAGGTGATAGATACAACTTCATAGATAAAATTCTGTCAGGTCCAGGGTTTGGACTCAATACAACTAAGTGATCATACTTTACAGATTCACAGAGTAACAAGATAGTACTTTTTTAATTGCGCAGGGGGATGTTTTCATTATTCGTTCTTGGTCTCTGAATCTATATTCAATTAGAATCACGGTTTTATCGTTCACATGGAAACTTAAGTTCGACATTCTTGATCTCGAGGCTCATATGGAATGGCTTAATAAGCGTACACAAAATCTCTCCCTTTGAAAATATAACTGATAGCAGCGGTCACAATTAGTGTCAAATTATTCCAACTAAATAAAAAAGGAAATAGTTTCTTGTTTCACAACGCCCTGCAAGAGGTTGAACAGATTTGGTGAGTCGATGGGTGAAGAAAACAGGGTAAGTTAAAATTGCATGATAAATAATGGGTGAAATTAACAAATTATTCAAAGTTAACAACCTTACTGATAAACGATCTTCGCGTTTCCTTTTGTAAGACATGTGAGATCTATGAGCTGTGAAGGCATAACGTCGCTTCGGGCAAAGGGATGGCCACCAGAGGCGTGGTCCTTCACAAATGAATTTAGCTCAGTACAGACTTTGAAGCTAACTAGCGGTGATGGTTTAGTAGGGAGATTCATCTTGTTAAAATCCCACGATTTTTCGAATTCATCTCCTAGCAGATAATCATCGTTGTTTTCATCACTAACATCAATAACGTATTCATTTTTGCTTTGCTGTTCGTTCGCATTTAGGTGAAGATTTCTTGTTGACTGAATGATGCAGTTCAAGTCCATCTAGATAAAGTTTAAAACGAAACATGAGCAAAATGAATAAGGATTAGTTCAATCAAACATTACATTAAGATTGATAAAAGTGCTACAACTCAGACTACATACAGTCAGAAAGCATACGCATTAAAAATAACGAGAAATCACAAGAGGATGTGCCTAAGCAAGTGAGTTTATATTGGGCTTATTGTTAAAGGTATGGAATGAGAATATACCGGTAGGAATTAAACTGATGAATAAAAACTATCATAATGAGAATGAGTGCTATATCATCTTCGAACAAAACTCATCTACTCATACAGCTGAGATGCAATCAGGGACTCTAATTGATGAAATTTTACGATGAAACTTGAAGTGTAACTCTCATGCCTCATTCTAATTTTTGCGTAGTAATTTATTACCTTCTCAAAGTCACTTTGACAGTGCTCAATATCCAATATCCGATTTCATCTCCACGAGCAAGGATAAAACCTTTCGTTTCGATGCACTTGATTCTTGTTCTTTCAGCACAGCTCAAGGTTCAATGAATAGGGGTCTAGCTACTTGACTGCAGTGATTCTAGTCGGTAGGTGATTGTTTGAGAGTTTGTATGTCATGTGATTTGAATGAGTGCTCTCACGTGACGTAATTTCTAATACTTCTGTCAGTGAGAAATACTGCCATAAAACCTCACCACCAACAGAGTCAAATGGGGTCAGAAGGTAGAAAAAATAATACCACTGTCCGAAGTATGAACGTCTGTCTATGTTCTAGAAACTGACGTAGTGTAAATACCTACCAAGCGACGACTGCTTGAGGTCGCTCGCGAACGCCATCTTTGTGGAAAGTTTTCATTCTGTTGGCTTCGATCTACGAAATATCTTACCGCCGAAGACGGAGATCTGTGTGATAAGGTGAGGTGTGACATTTTTAGGATCCACATTTTTTAACCGGGTTGTTCCTTGCGAGAAAGTAGCATTGCAGCAAATGAGAGGTGGTGGAGAAAATTTGAAGCTCAGGCGAATGGTTGTGGTGGTGTTTCGTTCCCTGAGCTGGATGTTTTGGTTGTATGGCTTGCATTGTTCAATATAACTCGGTGTGGCTTTTCAGTTCCATTACTCTGCTGGAATGTTTCTGGTCCCGCCGCTTCGCCACTCTTGATTTGTCTAATGGCCATACTGATCTCTTCAACTGTTGTTGTGTCAGCATCAGTTGGGAAGCCCGTAGTTGCTGCTTCCACGTTGAGTGGTCCCAGTAGGGCTGGTCGAATTAAGAGTTCTTCGAAGTGTTCTGCACTGATGTTTCACTTTCCTTCAATGTCGGTGACTGGTTCGCCTTTTTTGCTTTTCACTGAACTTTCTGGTTTACGATGATTTCCGACAAGCTTCTTTCTTGTATCATACAATTGTTTCAGGTTTCGTTATCTTGGAGCCACTTCCACCATTATTGGCAGATCTTCCTGATATTTACGATTGTGGGTTATGATGCTTCTCTTGACCTGCTTGTTTGCTTCTGTATATTCAGTGTGTTTATTTGCTTTCTCTTCTCCTGTACAGCCGACAATTTATGCAGTCACCTTGTTCTTCCTTTCTTGAATCTTATGTAGAGTATCCACAGAGATCTGCTCCTTGTGATTTTGGTTCTTGTTGAACAGAACCTGACATGCTAAAGTCATAGCTTATGTGCTCCACTTACAGTTGATTTTCATGATAGTTCCCCTCTTGACTGACGAATATTTTGCATTCATTAAGATTTTCAGAAGGATCACCTTAAACTCTTGTGACGCTGTCCATCCCGTTCTCCAATGTTTTCTGAGATTTTCATTTTGGTGGCCAGCAAGTGATGATCTGAGGCCTAATCAGCCACTATCTTTGTTCCCACATCCTCCATCGTCCTAATGAACATTTTACTGATGGCGAGTTTGGTTCTGCATGGTGTGATTCCGTGTGGGAATAGTGTGCTGTCAATGATCATCTTCTTGAAGTTACATAGGTTGGCAAATCTCTCACCTGAATTACTTTCTACCCATTTCCTCTTTTTAAATTTGTTTCAAAGGATTATACTCCTCTAATTATATCTTAGATTCCTAATCTTTCTATAACTGCTAATATTTCCACTACTAACACTATGTGATTCGAATTGACAGTTGCACCTCTGTGCTCATGTGGAATGGCAACTTGAGCAAATGCACTTGCATACGAACTTCAATGGATAGCTGATTGGCTGACTGATTCATCCATTCAGTGAAGTGCCTTCTTAAATAAAAAATTAACTGAAAATGGAATTATTTTTCCATCAAATTTGCATCGTCTAAAATCCACGCATAAATGTATCTTTCAGTTAAGCCAATTTTTAGCGTGACATATATTATAATATATGTGGTGCATCTACAAGTGAATAAAATATAGCATGTTATGAAGCTTCATGCAGGTAGCAGATCACCAAAAGAAACGATGCTGCTTACCTGGATTATTTTCTGAATTTGCCATTATTCTGGGAGTACGTTAATTCGGTTGTATGATAGCCGTCTACTAGGACTAACTTTGACATTGCCGTTTAACTTTATCATTATTATATTCGGTTGTTGTGAAAATCTTAATCAGTGATATTTTATTCACCTCAGCCTTACGTTCTAGTGCTGTTTCAGATTTACAGTTTCACTGGATATTTTAAAGGGCTGTTGCTTAGCTGCTTACTAAAACCACAACAACAGAACACTCATACAAAGAGGTAGCTTGTTTTGAATAACGGTGGATAAGTACAGCTTACAACCACTTGTTTTTCTATTTTACAAAGAAAATATTGAAAAAGTACCTTAAAAAGATTGGTTTGGAAAAATACACTAAAACTGGATTTTGATAACGAAACTTCAGTACCATTGTGATGGAAATCCACGATTAAGTTAATTGGATAGACATACCGGTTATGGTTTGCACCGTTTATGCACAACTAATCTTTTTGGCTATGTATGGAGGATTCTCGTTGTCAACTGTTCACTTCAAATTTATTTCGTCATGTAAATGGCGTTGGTTAGAAAACTAGATAAGCCTTCTTTTTTTCATCATTATCTTGTCTTCGATTTTGCTATTTTTCGAGAGGAAATATTTGGGTTTCCATATGAGTACCTTGAATGTACTTTGAAATGGAGGACCTAGTGAAGCATCTTGTCCAGCTGTGCATGTAAGCGCTTAGATCCTTTGGTCTGTATGTGGCTCTCGAATGTTCACGAGTATCAGCAGGTTAAAGTATGAACATTTGATCTCGTCGTTGATCGAAATATTTTGCTAGGTTGAACTTCATACTTTTAACACAAGTACGGTAAAACTCAGTAGGCAGTCTTAAAGTCGTCTCGAACATTAGTCCTGTTGACCAACACTGTCAATCAGATTTGAAAGCAGTTCATATGCTTTATATAAGTTTTAAAACGAGTTTCCCCGACTGATTGGGCTTTGAGTGTGATATGAAGGCGGATTTTAATTGAGGGTGGAAGCGTTCCATCATTCCGTTAGCCTGGTGATGATATGATACGCAACGTATTCTGTTAGAATTTAGAAGTTACGTTGAGTTAATGAATAGTTCAGAGTCAAATCAGGTTTCTCTGTCGGTTGTTATTGTAATATATGTCCCAAAATTAATGAAGACTTTAGTCAAAATTTCATTTAAGATATCTGTTACTAGTATGGATACTGGGCACCTTGCAAATTTGTTGAAATATGCAAATAAATAAGCAAACCCAAATCTGAATGAATGTGTGCAAAATGTGTATTTGGCTATTAGAAAACTTCAGTAGGTGAGTTCATATGTCGACGAACCTTTGACTGCTGATACTCAGAACACCGCCTAACGCACTGGTGTCAGTTAGGCTATATATGGTACCGATTAATTTGGTGGTAGCTTTCATAAATGGATTGGATAAAGTAGGGAAACTATCAAATATTAATTTTTGCATAGTTTCGAGAACGACTGTTCATGACATCGCTTCGGTTATATCTTATTAAATAAAACCACCTTCAATAAGTGATAGAACCTGTTCTTATTTGAGACTAAACATTTTCGTTGGTAGAAGATCAGCGCACCTATCCTCAGTTGTCGAGACCTCTGTAGAGTTATTTCTTTATTGAGTGTCTGTTGTGATTAAGGCACAGTTACTTGAACCTGATAGATATAGCATCAAACATCCAATAGTACCGAGACAAGATTTCAGATTTTTTGGGTGCTTTTGAGCTGCTTCATTATCTGCAACAGGTTGGTCGAGGTGACCTAATCAGGATCCCTTAATCTACTCGCACCTGAATAACAGTCTGTAAAAACTAAGATACTTGTTATTAGTACTGCAAAGAATGGGAGGTTCGATAATAACCGTTTGCATGTGATGTAACTTGTGTGCTGCAGACTTTTGATCCAGTTTGTTCTGAATGGGGGAAAGGATTAAGCAGCTCTCACGCGTTAGATAATAATTACCTTATAGTCATATTAAATTGTGTAATGAATAAATAAGAGCTGGCCGAGTGTTTTAATGTGCTCGCACTGATGAGCAGAAACATAAACTATCTATTCAAGCATGCACGGATTGTAGGATTTCAGTGTTTGTTTGTGATATACCTTTACGAAGTTGTCATTTTTATGCATCAGTTGACTTTCGAAGATTCTCTATAATCGTGACCACTCTTTATGAATAAAGACGATAAGTCTTGACCTCTCTTCATATCTGACTGAATACAAGTATCATAAGGTAATCTGTTTAATCATTCCTTAAGGTTTTTCAATGTGTTAACATGTCATTCGATCAAAATACTTGTCATCGAACGGCAATCTGCATGCGAATCACTGTATATAACATAAATTTTCAGTCGTACAACGTAGTAAGCTGAATATTACAAAAATCTACTATCGCTTACCTTGGTGAACAGAACGAGGTCGAAGTTGTGAACGTCGATTAACGCACAGATGAGTATCTAGTTGACAGTCGTTTTGCTCGAAATTTTGTTACTGTGAGTGCAACTGTTTTAGTGTAGTTGTTCAATTTATCTATCATTCAACACTGCATATTAGGATAAATGGAGTTGGAGATCCAATATCCAATATCTTTTTCACGAGCTAGTGTAAACCAATTTGATTTCTTCGCGCTCGATTCTTGTTCTTTCGATACGGTTCAGGTGTTCGGTAATGTCCAATGGATGGAGGTCTAGCCACTCGACTGTCTAATTCTAGTCAGCTGGCAGTTGGTTGTGAGTTCGTATGTCTCGGGATTTAACTGAAAACGTTTGTTTCAGGGCAGTAGGTGTAGATGGATTTTCTACCGTAGCAGTTCAATTTGTTTCCAGTAAGTGTAAGTCGAACGCGCTATCCCCCAATCCAATGTCAAAAACACAATAATTCTAGGAGAAAGCGGTCTATATTATGTTAAAATAGAAA